ATCGTCTCGACTTTGCCTTCCTGTTCAGCTGTCAGACGTCAGAGAAAACCTCTGACTGTCCCCGGCTGCATTTGTGCTCTGAGTGCAGCAGCCTGCGCTGATCAACCCTGCTGTGCAACCCTGCTGTGCTGCAGCAGTGGTCAGGAAACTGATAAAACTGATAAAATTGATAAAACTGATAACCAGCACAGCACTGCCTGCTGGCAGCCCAAAGGCTCGCTGTCAGTATTGATCTAGGACCTCAGGTTCCCCCATTTCCCAAGGAAGAAGCAGCACGTTCAGCCCACAGCCTCCATTTCCACCCTCCTTTAGCCCAAGACTGAGGAAGAGCCGGCAGGCTGCTCGTCCCAGTGCAGAACACCTGGGGAAGATGCCAGCACTCAATCTTTAATCTGCTGACCAAGCCGATGAGAGCATCAGTTCCTCAGGGCAGGAGGCAGAATGCAGGCACGGCTTAGTGGATTGATCACTTCTGTTTGACTCGGGCAGAGCAGGGTGAGGATCAGCTCTCCCCATCCCCATCCCCTTTCCCCCTGCCCTGTTTGTGTGGGGTTTCCAGCTGCACTGGGAGCTGCAGGGTACCAGGAGGCACCCCCAGCCCAGCTGCACTCCCAGTGGCATTCCCTGGGCGAGGATTTTGTCGTTTAAAAGCCACAGTCGGGAGAGGAAAGCCAAGGAACACTAGAAACACAAGCTGCTAAGCGGCAGCATTACTCTAATGCTCTCTCACCTTGGAGTGTCTCAGCTGTACTTGGGTGCTAAGCTCTTTAAGAGCTGAGCTGGCCAGCAGAAGCCAGAGCAGGGCTCTGGGGAGGGCTGCTCCTGTGTGGAGTTGGGATGCACAGGGTGGCATTGCTTGACACCAAACAGGCCAAAGCATTTAAATCTAAACTTCCTAAACTGGACTGGAGGATTCTGCCTGTCAGGCTGAGCACAAACCAGAACCTGCTCAGCAGGTGAGTCCTTCAGCTGCCCCAGAGCCATGACAAAGCCTCTCTTTCTTACCCTGTCCCACACCAGCTCAGGAGCTGCTGCCACCATTTCTGCAGCCTGGTTCTGGAGGAGCCACAAGGCAGTAATTTTATTTCCTGAGAACCCCAGCTGCTGTCCAGCTGCTCTTTATTGCCTCACAGCAGAGGTTTGCAGCCTTACCCAAAGCCCTGTGCACTGGATAGCCCAGGACTGGAGAGCATCATGCCCAGCTCCAGCAGCTCTGCAGCACACAGGGCTCCCAGCCCACTGAACACCACAGAAACAAGGAGCTAAATCATCCCAGAAATTACTCTGTCCTTCACAGCCACATCTCCGCTTCTTTGGCACTAAACCCCTTTGCAGAGCTGAGCAATTTGGCAGGTAACAGGCAAGTTTCCTCTAAGGTTCCCTCACCAAAATTTCGCCCTGCTGGAGCTCCCTTGGCTGCTCAGAGCATGCAAACCCTCCCCAGCCTGGTGCCACCTGCAGCACCAAAGGGAAATGAAGCCCCACTGCAGCAAACTCACTTCTGTGCATCCTTTTCCCCACTCCTAAACAGATTTCCTCTGCAATGACAAATCAGCCTCTGGTCACTTAAGTTTGTTATTATTATAGACAGAAGTAGCAGCCATTTAATATCCTCTGTTGAGAGACCATGTTTTCAGCTAGTTATGCGATGCCAAACTTTAAATATTGAGGCTGAAACTGTAGGGGTGGTTTGCTTTATGCAGTCTTTTTTCTTTTTTAACTAAAAAAAAAAAAATAGCGCAGCTATTTCTGAGCTGAAGGTCAGATTATAAAATAGGTTTTTTGACCATGTTAAAAATATCTCAGCTGTTTCATTAAGGAGCTGTAACATCTCATAATTTGGGGCAAGTAAGATTTTGTGAGGATGATGGCTTGGATCAGAGTGTGCTTTTGTCAAAGCCTTTTCAGGCTTCCTCGGCTGCGTGTGCCTTTAAGGGAAAAAGGTCCAGTGTGACAGACGAGACATGTGATGGCAATAAAGGAATAAAAGGCAGCTAGCAAGGAAAGGGACATCAAGGAGACAGATGTTCTACAAGCAAATAAAAAGCTCTATAGGAAAAAGAGCTGTTCTGGTGGTGTGTAAAGATGGTGTACCAGAGGAGGAAGCACTAAGCTGGAGAGGACAGTTTATCAATCCAGAGCCCCTCTAAACCCGGGGCACAGGCTGTGCTTTGGCATTGCGGTGGAAATCTGCTCCACAGCAAGGGGTTCTTTGTTTAGGAGTGGGGAACACGATGTACACGAGTGAGTTTGCTGCAGTGGGGCTCTGCTGCCCTTTGGTGCTGCGGCTGCAGAGCAGAGCCAGGTGTGGAGAGGTGGCCCTGAGCTGGGGTTTGCACTGCTCTGAACGGGCAAACCGAGCGTTCCCGGTGCTGGGCGAGGTCCGTGTCCCCTCGGGGGGTTCTGTATCCCCCGGGGGGGTTCTATGTCCCCGTGTCCCCCGGGGGGGTTCTGTGTCCCCGTGTCCCCAGAGCCAACTCAGCCCTGCGGGTTTTTCCTCCCGCCCGAGCGCCGGGCGCCGGGCGCGAGCCGCCGCCAACCACAGAGTCTGCGCGGGGCGGGCGCGGCGGGCGGGGCGCTGTGTGTCGGGCCCGCCGCCGCCGGCGCGGTGCGGTGAGCGGGGCCGGGCCGGGGGCGCAGCCGGGACCGGGGCGGACCGGAGCGGACCGGGAGGGGTCAGCCGGGGCCGGAGGGGTCAGCTCGGGCCGGGGAGGGGTCAGCCGGTCATACCCTGCGGCAGCGCGCACCGGCCGCCCCGCTCCGGCACCGCGTGGGCGGCGGCAATGGAGGGATGCGGGACGGATGGACGGAGGGATGCGGGAAGGATGCGGGATGGAGGGGGTGCGGGATGGACGGAGGGATGCGGGGGTGAACGGGGGATGCTCCCGGCCCCCGGCGAGGGGCAGGCACGGCCACAGGAGCTCGGGACGGCGGAGCGCGGTGCAGCCCCGGGCCCGCCGCTCCCTGCCCGCTCCCGGCCCCGCTGCCCCGCAGCCCGCGGGCTCCGCAGCCCGGCCCGGCCTTCCCGGGCACCGGCCCGGCCTTCCCGGGGCCGGGGAGCTGCAGCGTCCGGTGCGGGGGCGGCGGGCGGGCCCTGCTCGGTATCCGGGAGCTGCGACAGCCGCTGTCACACGGGGCTCATCCCTGTCACCCCTGAGCTCATCCCTGTCACACGGGGCTCAGCCCTGCCACAGGTGGGCTCATGGATGTCACAGGTGGGCTCAGCTTTATCACGGGTGGGCTCATGGATGTCACAGGTGGGCTCAGCTTTATCACGGCTGGGCTCATGGATGTCACCTGTGAGCTCAGCCCTGTCACGGGCCCATCCCTGTCACAGGTGGACTCATGGATGTCACGGGTGGGCTCAGCCCTGCCACCCCTGAGCTCATCCCTGTCACAGGTGGCCCCATCCCTGTCACCCCTGAGCTCATCCCTGTCACCCCTGAGCTCATCCCTGTCACAGGTGGCCCCATCCCTGTCACAGGTGGGCTCAGCCCTGCCACCCCTGAGTTCATCCCCGCGTTCCATGCCTGCCCACGCACCGGGCTGGGTTCCTCACCGTCCCCTGTCCTGCTTTTCCAGGGTTTTGGAAGCGGCTGCTGTCACGATGCTGGGGCTGGAGCACACGGAGTGAGGCTGAGTCAGAGCCAGAAGGGCCAAACACGAATTCCTGCACCTCTCATCCTGCTTTTAATGCGAGTCTCCTCATTAAGCCTTGGCTTCTGCAGCAGCTGATGGTGAGCTCATTGCTGCCCTGGTGTTTGCAGTACAGAACACCAGTGGGGTTTCCCAGTCCTCAGAGAATCCCAGAGCCCTTTCCTTCGTGTGCAGAGCCCTGTGGGAGCCCCAGGCCATGCTGCATTTTCCATGGAATCACAGAATATCCTCAGCTGCAAGGGACTCCCAAGGCCCATCAAAGTCCAGCTCTTTTGGCCGTGCACCTGGTGATTATTTTTCAGTGGGGATACCACAGTAACAAAAATGCCTTGTGCATTTTTTCCTGGAATGAGCTCCTGTGAACGGGAGCTGCAGTGGCTGTGCAGGGGAGGGCCCAGCCTGGCTGCTGGGCCAAGCTCCTTTGTGTTTTATGTGGATCAGGCCCAGGAGGCTTCTCCTGAAGCCTGACTGAGTAACTTTGTTCTGCCTGGCTGGGGGATTTTTGGAGTATTATTTTTTAATGGGAGCAGTGGTGCTTAGCTGATACGAAAGCAGTAAACAAGCACTGCTGGGTTTACTTTATTCTGTGCAGTGTAGCTCAATATTTTGCAATTGGGAGGGTTGTGAAACTGCCTTTGGTTTGGGAACACACGTGACGGTGGCTGAATCTGCCGGGAAGTTCCCTGGCTAATTCCCTTTTTTCTGTGGGTCTGGGGCAGCATGGCCCACCCAGACCCATCCCATTCCTCACTGTGCAGGGCTGCCAGGGTGTCAGTGCCTCTGGTTCCTGGAACAAAGGTTGCTCAGGAAGTGTAAATACCCATTTATTGCACTGAGGGACTTTGGCATCTGGGTTATAACCCCGCAGCAGGGGAGGGGGAAGCAGAGAATCATTTATTCTGCAGGCAGAGCCTCAGCAGTGCCCCTTGGCAGCTGCCAGTGCTGCAGGCTGGGTTCCTTCAGTGGGTCCGGGGAGCTCAGACAGCAGGAGAGGAGGGAGGGAGGGGACACAGCCACGGCAGAGGGCTGGGCAGGGAGGAGTTAAACTTCCAGGCTGCATTTCAGCTCCGTGTAGCTGCCTGGGAGCAGGAATAGCCACCCGTGCCTGTGTTTTACCTGCTCACAAACAGCCAAAGGCTTCGGCACAGCCAGCAGGGCAGGACTGTGAGCAGGGGTGTGCTGGGACATTGCTGGCTCAGGCACTTGTGGTTTTTTCTCTGTTGTAATTGGGTCTTTCCTCCCATTTTCCAGGAAGGGAACAGCCTGCCTTACCTGTGCTGCACACCTGAGCACTGAGCAGAGACACCCAGAGACACAGGATCTGCACTGAGAGAGGCTGGGCAGGAGGAAAATCTCCAGCTGCTTTTGGGGTCTCTAGAGCTCCTGTGTTACAGGTGAGTCTGCTGGAGAGAAACACGAGATTTCTGCAGAGCAGTTCAAGCTGCAGGCAGGGAGAGATATCCAGATGTTCCTTGTGGTTATTTAGTTATCACCATTTATTGACCAGAGCTCAAAGTTTTTAAAGAAGTAAATAGCATTGTGTGCTGTGAAGGCTCTGCTCCTAAACTAAACACAGCTTATAAATGACATTAAGGGAAGGAGATAGCCAGTGAGAGAGCTGCTGAAATAATACATGCTGTAATGAGAGCAGCACAGCGGTTTAGTCACACGTACAGGAGTGACTAAACCTCTCTTCAGTGACATTACATCTCTTGAGATGCAAAGTCATTGCTGTGTTTCTCAGGGTAAGTGCTAAATGTGTCCTTTCTCATAAAAAAACAACTTTATTTTGAATAAATGAGTGTGAACAAAGGGACTTTTTGGCCTGGCTGTGGTGGTTTGAATGGGCACTGAGTGGAGACGGCCAGAACAGGACCTGCTCTTCAACAGTGAAGGTTGCAGGAGGCAGAACACAGAGCCCAGGTTGTCACCTGGCCACAGACACAGCACCATGGGGCAGCACCTGGACTGGCTCACATCAATCTGAGGACTGAGCTTCTTCCCCAGAGCTGTTTTGTCACCCCAGTCTGCCAGCAGCCATCAGACCCAGTTCAGTGGTGGGGCACAGGAGCCACAAGTGGAAGAAGAAGAGCCTGGGGCTGCCAGTGGTCGTGTTTGTCCCTGAGCCGCTGTGACAATATTGACATGAAGCCATGCCAAGGCAGCCAGGCAGTGTTTGAGCACAGTCCCCAGCAGGACTCAGGGTGCAGGCACGTGTGCTCAGGGTGCAGCCCGTGTGCTCCTTTGAGGCCAGCCTGATTTGGGTGGAAGTGGGTTTGTTTCCCTGTGCAGAGGCACTGACACCCCCCAGCTGTGGGAGCAGTGCACATGCTGCCCAAGGACCTGCAGCACACACTGCCTTCACTTCTGGTGTGCAGAGGGAGGCTGCAGGTTTGTCAGGAGCCCAAATTACTGCCTTGATTCAGATCATGGAGGGGAGGAGAGGCTGTTGGGTGGAGGATCCAGGCAGAGGCCCCTGGCTCTCTGGGGAAAGCAGGTACCTTGTGTTGTGTTTCGCAGTGCTACACCATGGATTGATTTGTGTTTTTATTCCTGGCCTCCAGTGTTCCTGGCCCTGCCTCTTCTCCCCACGATGCTGGGAAGGGTCCTGTGCACGGTGCTGTTGGTGGGAGCCCTGCCATCCCCAGCTGGAGCCTCCCAGGGCCACATCTCCGTGATCCTGCTGGGAGCCACGGGGGATTTGGCCAAGAAGTATTTGTGGCAGGGTCTGTTCCAGCTCTACAGGGACCAAGTGAGCAGCGGCCACAGCTTCACGTTCCACGGGGGGGCCCTGGCAGCTCTGGAGCCGGGGCAGAGGCTGATGTTTGACGTGCTGAAGAAGCTGTCCTGTCCCCCCGACGAGCCTCCCGACCGCTGCGCCGTGCTCAAGGACCAGTTCCTGAAGCTCAGCCAGTACCACCAGCTGAAAACCGCCGAGAACTACACGGCTCTGAACAGGGAGATCGAGACCCTGCTCAGCCAGGAGGGGCTGGAGGAGGCTGGCAGGATCTTCTACTTCTCCGTGCCGCCCTTTGCCTACACGGAGATCGCGGGGCACATCAACGGCAGCTGCCGGCCGCGCGCCGGGGCCTGGCTGCGCGTGGTGCTGGAAAAGCCCTTTGGCCACGACCTGCCCTCGGCACAGCAGCTGGCTGCACAGCTGGCAGGCTTCTTCAGGGAGGAGGAGATGTACCGAGTGGACCATTACCTGGGCAAGCAGGTGAGCAGCCCCTGCCGGCCCCAGGGGCTCCTCATGGTCGGTTCTGCGTCTGGGGAGAGCGTTGTTGTTCCCCTCCCAAATCCATGCAGGGCCTCCGCGTGCTCCTGCAATCCTGTTTCTCTGTCCTGGGGAGCAGGGGAAGTGTGCAGAGCAAAGCAGGGTTCCTCCTGTTGGGGTAGTGAGGGTCCCTTCTGCAGAGCAGGGCTGGGCTCTGTGCCTGGAGCAGAGATGCAGAGCTCCTCTGGCCTCCTCGCCAAGGTCAGGGTTTGGTTTCGCTGAGTGAGCAGCACCTGTCCTCTCCCAGCTCCACATCTCATTCCACGCAGGCCTCTCTGCTTAGCCATGGCTTCTGGGAGCGCTCCTCCATTTGATATGATAAGGAGCTGATGGGATGTTACTTCTGGGGGATGCTTAGGGAAGGTTTCTCCCTGCCCTGCAGGGCTGTCTGCTGCAGGTACAGCTCAGGATGTGGAGCTGCACTGTCCCAGAGGGAGGGTGCTCAAGGACATGCCATCCTTGCTTCTCAGGGATGTGATGCCACACTTTAAAGCAGCCTGTTCCAGCCATGGAAAGGTGGCCAGGTTTTACTCGGAAGCTGCATGTCCAGCTGTGGAGAGCATCTCCACTGAGAGGGGGCAATTCTTCTGTTTTATTTTGGGGGCTTATTTTATTTTATTTTAAATGTTTATTTTTATTTTATTTTATTTTTTAAATTTGATTAAAAGAGCAGATGGCTTTAGTGGTGTAAGCATCTGAAGTGATGTATTTCAGCACTTTGGAACCTTACATTAGTCCCAGGATGATCTGACTCAGCCCTTTGTCCTCTGACAGATATAAACTGAGTGCTCTGCAGTTTGTAGTTCAGCCTTTTCACACGAAACCTCAAAATGCCTCAGAAGGACCTTTAATGTCTGCTCTAGACATCCACTGGTGACTCTGCTGTGCATCACTGCAGCCTCTCCTGCTGCTTTTCTCTTCTCTGACCTGCTCTGTTGCCTGTCTGCTGCGTGGGGCAGGGAGGCAGAGGCGCTCTGGGAGCCTGCTGAGTTTTTGTTGGGTCTTTGGATTTTGCCCTCACAGGCTGTGGCCCATATCCTGCCTTTTCGGGATCAGAACCGACAGTTTCTGGACCCCATTTGGAACCGGCACCATGTGGAAAGAGTGGAGGTTGTCTTGAAGGAGACTGTGGATGCTAAAGGTTGGTGAGGCGGCGTGCAGGGTGTGCAGGGTGAGTGAGTGAGAGCTGGCAGGCTCCTCAGTAGTGGGGAGGGGGCCCTTGAGGTGGTGCTGGTACAGAAATACAAAAGGAGCAGGCGAATGGTGTGGGGAAACAGAGAGGGACTGTCCCACCCTTCCTGTGCTGGAGACTGACTCACTTCCAGGTAGAGTTGCTGCCTCTGAGGAAAAAATCCATTTGTAATTCATCTGGGAGCAGGGGCAGAACCCCCCAGCTTTTTCTGCTGCAGAGCTCTGGGGGCATTGCTGACCTTTCTGTCCCAGTTCTGGGTAAACAGCCCCAGATTGGGAATTGGTGCAGTCTAAGGCCACTGCAGCTGTCCTGCTGTCCTGCCAGCCCCCAGGCTCACCCCCAGTGTGCCTTTGTGCTGCTCTTTGGGAGGTGCTCGTGCATCTCCTGCCTGGGTGTGTCTGTCCCTGGGCCGGTCTGGGTTTGTGTGCCTGTGTCTGTGCCCTCCTCTCTGTGGCAGGAGGAGCACTGCAGAGGGACGGTCCCAGACAGAGAGGCAGCTCCTGCTGAAGGGCACGGCTGCACTGCTGCAATGCTGCAGCATCCCCTCTGCAGTGCTCAGCACAAAGCTCCCGGGCTGGGCTCTGCCTGCAGCACTCCTGGCCAGGCAGGTGCCCAGGCTGCTGCACCAGCAGGGCTGCTTCCCCACTCCCTTCAGCTCTGCCTCCCTCCCTCAGCCTCCACAGGCTCAGCTAATGCAGTCCTGTCCAACCTGGGCTGGTGATCTTTGGTTTGGCAGCCCAGAGCCTGTTTGTGGGAGAGGGGTGCACTGCAGAGAGATTTAGGGAGAGCAGCATTGTCTGTGCACAGCCCCAGCTGCTCCCTGTGCCCCCCTCTCTGAACACCTTTGTCATTTGATGTCACTTGGTGTCATTTGTCACTTGATGTCTGTTTTCCCCTGTGCGGCTTCAGCTGGCAGCCTGGCTCCCAGCAAGTGTGCAGCACTGATTCCATTGCTGAATGTGCCTTTGGATTGGGGAGGAGATGAATGATCAGTCGTGGGGGAAGCCTGTGGTGGTGATGCAGCCTGCTGCTGGTGACACACAGCCTTGAGTCACTGCTGCAGTGCCCTGTCCTTCTCCCACTGTCCCCACCTGCTGGATGGGCCAGGCAGGGAAAGGCAAGCATGGCTCTGTGCACCAAATTTTGTCTCCCAAGGGTATGGCTCAGCCAGAGCCTTCTGAGGACAGGAAAACCTTCTCGTCCTGCTACAGGCAGTGACCACTTGCACTAGGACAGGTTGCCCAAAGCTCTGTCCAACCAGACCCTGCACACATCCAGTGACAGGACACCCATTCCCTGAGCTTGATTGCCTCGGATGGGGAGAGAAGAGCTCGGAGCTTTGCTGTGCCTGGCCCCACAGTGAGATGCAGAAGGGAACCAGGTCCCCTGAGCAGATTTTGCCTTCCCCACATGCCCAGGGCGCACCAGCTTCTACGAGCAGTACGGGGTGATCCGGGACGTGCTGCAGAACCACCTCACCGAGGCCCTCCTGTTCCTCATCATGGAGCTCCCTGCAAACGTCAGCAGCGCCCAGGAGGTGGTGCAGCACAAGCTGCAGGCCTTCCAGGCCCTGTGGGGGCTGCAGAGGAGCAGTGCTGTGCTGGGACAGTACCAGGCCTACGACAGCCAGGTGCAGGAGGAGCTGCCCGGGGCTCGGGGCCACGTCAGCACCACGCCGACCTTTGCAGGTGAGGCTTTGGGCCAGGGGAGCACTGAGAGCTGAGGGAGCAGGAGCTGCGAGCCCTGCAGTGCCAGCCCCGTGGCTCTGGGGCTCGCTGCTCACTCAGGGATGTGCCCAGGCATCCACTGGCATGGGAACTGGAGCTGGACAAGATAATGCTCTTGTTGTGTCAGTTCACCAGTGATCCAGGGAACGGGAAGTGTGACGGTTAAGGCCCATTATTATAAAATCTCTGCATTGTTTTTAGAAGTAGCCTATAAACTCCTTTGCCTTCCCATAAACTTGAGTTGAGGGGTAAAGCTTTGCTCTCTGTGGTGAGTGAACTACAAGGCCATCTCCAGCCATTTGTCTAAATGATGCTGATGCTCACAAACTGGTTTCCTGTGAGATGAAAGGAGGCTGAACAAGTGGGATAGCTGGGAAGGAGCACAGCAAGAAGCTTGAGGGGAGTGAGAATTATGGATGGCCTGGGTGGGAAGGGACCATAAAGATCATGGAGTTCTGGGCAGGCAGTGAGCCATGGAAGGGCTGAACGTGGAGCTAGAGACACAGTGAGTACCGAGGGAGCTGAGGGGGCAATGGTGGGCAGTGATGGAGGTGCCCAGGAGTGCCTGCTCTTGAGGTGTGCTGGGCTGTCTGTCGTTGCAGGGGTGCTGATCCACAGCCACAGCCTGCGCTGGGAAGGGGTCCCGTTCCTGCTCACCTCGGGGAAGGCTCTGGATGAGCGGGTGGGCTACGCCCGCGTGCTCTTCAGGAACAGGGCCTACTGCCCTCAGAGCGGCACGCTGAGGGACGCAGGGCACAGCCAGTGCAAACCCAAGCAGATCATCTTCTACTTCGGGCACGGCGCTCTCAACACCCCCGCGGTGCTGGTGAGCAGGAACCTCTTCCAGCCTGCCATGCCCAAGGACAGCTGGAAGGAGGCAGGAGCTCGCTCAGACCTGCACATCTTCGGGCAGCCGCTGTCTGATTTCTACATGTACAGCCCCGTCAAGGAGAGGGATGCCTATTCCGTCCTCATCTCCCACATCTACCACGGCAGGAAGGATTTCTTCATCACCACGGAGAGCCTGCTGGCTTCCTGGGCCTTCTGGACGCCTCTGCTGGACAGCACGTCCCGGCTGCCCCCGCGCCTCTACCCCGGCGGCGTGGAGAACCAGCAGCTGCTGGACTTTGAGATGGTGGCCGGGGGGGTGGAGTTCAGCCTGGCAGAGCCGGCAGAGCTGCTGCACCCCGGCGGGCAGATGCCAAGCGAGTTCAGGGCCATCCAGTCCCAGTTCCGGCAGAGTCCCCTGGTGTCGGCCTGGCCCGAGGAGCTGATTGCCCGCCTGGCCTCCGACATGGAGGCGGCGGCCGTGCAGAGCGTGGCTCGCTCGGGGCAGTTCCACCTGGCCCTGTCGGGCGGCTCCAGCCCCGTGGGGCTGTTCCAGCGCCTGGCCAGGCACCACCACGGCTTCCCCTGGCAGCACAGCCACGTGTGGCTGGTGGACGAGCGCTGCGTGCCCCTGACCGACGGCGAGTCCAACTTCCAGGGCCTGCAGCGGCACCTCCTGCAGCACGTCAGGGTGCCCTACCTCAACATCCACCCCATGCCCGTGCACCTCAACCGCCGCCTCTGCGTGGAGGAGGACGGCGGCGCCGAGCTCTACGCCCAGGACATCGCGGCCCTGGTGGCCGACGCCAGCTTCGACCTGGTGCTGCTGGGCGTGGGCACGGACGGACACACGGCCTCGCTGTTCCCCCGCTCCGAGCACGGCCTGGAAGGGGCCCCCGCGGTGGTGCTGACCGAGAGCCCCGTGAAGCCCCACCAGAGGATGAGCCTCAGCCTGCCCCTCATCAACAGGGCCCGGCAGGTGTTCGTGCTGGTGCTGGGCAGGGGCAAGCACGACATCACCACGCTGCTCAGCAGGGTGGGCCGCGAGCCCCACAAGTGGCCCATCTCGGGGGTCAGCCCCAGCTCCGGCCAGCTCGTCTGGTACGTGGATTATGAGGCTCTGCTGGGGTGATGCTGCAGTGTCCCTCCTTTGTCTGCGTGGCCTTTACAGCCTGGATTGTCACACACGATGTCCTTGTTCCTGCCGTGCCAGCAGCAGCTCCATCCCTGACACCTCCGGCCTTCAGGGGGATCCATGGCCTGCAGCACCTCTGGTGTTTGGGCCTGGGTGAGCTGGGTTCTGTGTTTGGAGCTCAGCAGGAGCCACGAGCCCAGCGTGCCCTTTCTGGCTCTGCTCTGTGTTCTCTGGCCTGCACACCTCTGGTGTTTGAGCCTAGGCTCTGTGTTTGGAGCTCAGGAGGAGCCATGAGCCCAGCGTGGCGTTTCTGGCTCTGCTCTGGCTTCTCTGGCCTGCACACCTCTGGTGTTTGAGCCTGGGCTCTGTGTTTGGAGCTCAGGAGGAGCCATGAGCCCAGCGTGGCGTTTCTGGCTCTGCTCTGGCTTCTCTGGCCTGCACACCTCTGGTGTTTGAGCCTGGGCTCTGTGTTTGGAGCTCAGGAGGAGCCATGAGCCCAGCGTGGCGTTTCTGGCTCTGCTCTGTGTTCTCTGGCCTGCACACCTCTGGTGTTTGAGCCTGGGCTCTGTGTTTGGAGCTCAGGAGGAGCCATGAGCCCAGCGTGGCGTTTCTGGCTCTGCTCTGGCTTCTCTGGCCTGCACACCTCTGGTGTTTGAGCCTGGGCTCTGTGTTTGGAGCTCAGGAGGAGCCATGAGCCCAGCGTGGCGTTTCTGGCTCTGCTCTGGCTTCTCTGGCCTGTACACCTCTGGTGTTTGAGCCTGGGCTCTGTGTTTGGAGCTCAGGAGGAGCCATGAGCCCAGCGTGGCGTTTCTGGCTCTGCTCTGGCTTCTCTGGCCTGTACACCTCTGGTGTTTGAGCCTGGGCTCTGTATTCAAAGCTCAGCAGGAGCCACGAGCCCACTGTGCCCTTTCTGGCTCTGCTCTGGCTTCTCACTGAGACTTTGGACAAATGACTTCACCTTGAAGTGCCTCAGTTTCCCCGTTTGTGCTTCCTGGCATGTAACTACCTCACAGGCACTTCGGGGCACTTGTTAAATCAACTGCCTGCCAAATTCTGACTAATTTAATGTGATTCTCAGGCTAAACGACAACAGTACCACACTGATCCCTGCCCTGCTCAGCCTGGCTGGGCCAGGCCCTGGTCTCAGGGCAGTGATGGTGGTGTGCACGTGGATGTGTGACCCTGGATGTGTTGGGGCTCTGGAAATGATGGGGCAGGCTGAGAGTATGGCACAGCTCTGCTCTCCAGGTGAATGTAAACCTGAGAGTGCAATAATTACTGAGGGAAAGCTTGGTGCTCTGAGGAATTGCTGGGTTTAGCTAGCAGAGAAATCTTTTATTTTTAAACAAAAATGCCTGCGTTAACTTCATTCCAGTTCTTTTGTATTTGGTGTGAGGGAACAAGTTTTAATGAAAAAGTGACCTATGAGAGAGTAACTGTATTGTTATTAATAACAGAGCTTATTCCTGTCTTACAGGTGACTGTGGCATTAGAGTTTTCTTATTTTTGCACACTTGCTTGGTAATATGTGGCGGGCACCTCTTGAGATGAACACTGAAAGGTTCATTTGCACTTTGAAATAAGCACATGGGCTTTTCCCCAGAGAGCTACTGTTCTTTGCAGGTGAAAATAGGGTTTGTTTGTGAAGTCTCTATCTAGTGGGTCACCCCAAAATTTATCTGAGATTTTATTAAAATCCATTAAAGTTTCCATGTTTTCCTTGGTGAATGGAGCTATCTGGGTTGTTTGGGAGATTTTTCCAAAGTGTATTTTTTTCCACACAGACAATTTCTGTTAAACTCTTTAATTCTTAGTATTTGCTAAATGAAAACCAAATATTTTTGAATATACAACATTTATGACTGGAGAGAGAGAGACTGGATGGGAAGAAGGGTTAAATGAGCAGCAAATCTGATGAGGAGGAATGGTAGCAATCCACTGGGCTGTAGGCCAAGGAAGCAGGGCTATTTTTATTTTGTGAAAGTTATTAATAGAAGGTGTGCACCTTCTTGAGAGCTTGTATTAACCTTTCTTTGCAAAGGCAGCTCCATGGAGTAACTTCTTACAGTCTGTTTCTCCCACAAGTGATTATTGATGCTGATTTTTATTCATTTTTTTAATGTCAAGTGCATTCCAACAATTCAATGGTATGATTACATGTTTTACAGAAAAATAACACTGGAAATTACTCATTTTTCACTTCAGCTTTTATAAATCAAATTGTACAATCTTTTTTTTTTCCCTTATGAGTAAAGTTTTGTGATTCTTTTCATATTGTTTAATGAATAAAGAATTATATTTATAAAAAATAAATCGTTTTTAACAAGAAGTGTCTTTTTAATTTCTTCCAGAGATGGGAAGCACTTCCTGCTGAGTGAAGTTTTAGGGTTTTAGTTGTGCAAAGTGGACACTGTCACTGCAGTATTAAATGTTCACTCTGAAAAAAAATTTTTTTTTTCTCCTTTTTTTTTGGTGTCTCATCCAGACAAGGCCAGGACTGTCCAAAACAAGGAGCAGCCAAAGCCCTTTTAAGGTGAGGAGATGGAATCACGCAGTGCTGTGCAGGGCCCTGCAATGGCCAGGCCTCAGGAAGGCCTCGCTGATCCACATTTACTGCGTGTCGCATTTCCATGGACACTGTCACCACAGCACAGGGCTCACAGAGCCGCGTGTTTGCCTCTGAGCTGTCCTCTGTGAGCTCAGGGGGTGCAGATGAAGTTCCAGCTGAGCTGAGCTGTGGCTCGGCCTGGCAAGGGAATGTGGCAGCATTTAAATCAGGCATTTGCTGCACTCCTGCTGATGCACACGTGCTGGTTTCCCTGCACGCAGCTGGAAGGGCTCTGCCACTCACAGGCCTGGCTGGCAGCAATGCAGGGCTGGCATGGGTGCTGCAGTGATGCAGAGGTGGCACAGGGTGCTGCAGCAATGCAGGGCTGGCATGGGTGATGCAGTGATGCAGAGGTGGCACAGGGTGATGCAGTGATGCAGGGCTGGCACAGGTGCTGCAGTGATGCAGAGGTGGCACAGGGTGCTGCAGCAATGCAGGGCTGGCATGGGTGCTGCAGTGATGAGCTCTGTGCCAGCTGCTGCCCCAGCTCTCGCCATGGTGAGGAGCTGGCCCTGCTCTCTCACACAGAATTCCTCTGAGCACAGGATTTCCTGCAGGAGCCGAGTGTCCGAGTGTCCAGCACACAGAACTGCCCCTGCTCAGTGTCCAGCACACAGAACTGCCCCTGCTCAGTGTCCAGCACCCAGAGCTGACCCTGCTCAGTGTCCAGCACCCAGAGCTGCCCCTGCTCAGTGTCCAGCACACAGAACTGCCCCTGCTCAGTGTCCAGCACCCAGAGCTGCCCCTGCTCAGTGCCCAGCACCCAGAGCTGCCCCGGCTCAGTGCCCAGCACACAGAGCTGCCCCTGCTCAGTGTCCAGCACACACAGAGCTGCCCCTGCTCAGTGTCCGAGCGTCCAGCACACAGGACTGCCCCTGCTCAGTGTCCAGAACACAGAACTGCCCCTGTTCAGTGTCCAGCACACACAGAGCTGCCCCTGCTCAGTGTCCGAGTGTCCAGCACACAGAACTGCCCCTGCTCAGTGCCCAGCACACACAGAGCTGCCCCTGCTCAGTGTCCGAGCGTCCAGCACACAGGACTGCCCCTGCTCAGTGTCCAGAACACAGAACTGCCCCTGTTCAGTGTCCAGCACACACAGAGCTGCCCCTGCTCAGTGTCCGAGCGTCCAGCACACGCAGCAGCCCCTGCTCAGTGTCCAGCACCCAGAGCTGACCCTGCTCAGTGCCCAGCACACAGAGCTGACCCTGCTCAGTGTCCAGCACACACAGAGCTGCCCCTGCTCAGTGCCCAGCACCCAGAGCTGCCCCTGCTCAGTGTCCAGCACCCAGAGCTGCCCCTGCTCAGTGCCCAGCACCCAGAGCTGCCCCTGCTCAGTGTCCAGCACCCAGAGCAGCCCCTGCTCAGTGTCCAGCACCCAGAGCTGACCCTGCTCAGTGTCCAGCACACCCAGAGCTGCCCCTGCTCAGTGTCCAGCACCCAGAGCAGCCCCTGCTCAGTGTCCAGCACCCAGAGCTGCCCCTGCTCAGTGTCCAGCACACGCAGCAGCCCCTGCTCAGTGTCCAGCACCCAGAGCTGCCCCTGCTCAGTGTCCAGCACACAGAACTGCCCCTGCTCAGTGCCCAGCACACAGAGCTGACCCTGCTCAGTGCCCAGCACACAGAGCTGCCCCTGCTCAGTGTCCAGCACCCAGAGCTGACCCTGCTCAGTGTCCAGCACACAGAGCTGCCCCTGCTCAGTGTCCAGCACACAGAACTGCCCCTGCTCAGTGTCCAGCACCCAGAGCTGCCCCTGCTCAGTGTCCAGCACCCAGAGCTGCCCCTGCTCAGTGTCCAGCACACAGAACTGCCCCTGCTCAGTGTCCAGCACACAGAACTGCCCCTGCTCAGTGTCCAGCACCCAGAGCTGCCCCTGCTCAGTGTCCAGCACCCAGAGCTGCCCCTGCTCAGTGCCCAGCACACAGAGCTGACCCTGCTCAGTGCCCAGCACCCAGAGCTGCCCCTGCTCAGTGTCCAGCACCCAGAGCTGACCCTGCTCAGTGTCCAGCACACAGAGCTGCCCCTGCTCAGTGTCCAGCACACACAGAGCTGCCCCTGCTCAGTGTCCAGCACACAGAACTGCCCCTGCTCAGTGTCCAGCACCCAGAGCTGCCCCTGCTCAGTGTCCAGCACACGCAGCAGCCCCTGCTCAGTGTCCAGCACACAGAACTGCCCCTGCTCAGTGTCCAGCACACACAGAGCTGCCCCTGCTCAGTGTCCAAGTGTCCAGCACACGCAGCAGCCCCTGCTCAGTGTCCAGCACCCAGAGCTGCCCCTGCTCAGTGTCCAGCACCCAGAGCTGCCCCTGCTCAGTGTCCAGCACCCAGAGCTGCCCCTGCTCAGTGTCCAGCACCCAGAGCTGACCCTGCTCAGTGCCCAGCACACACAGAGCTGCCCCTGCTCAGTGCCCAGCACACAGAGCTGCCCCTGCTCAGTGTCCAGCACCCAGAGCTGACCCTGCTCAGTGTCCAGCACATACAGAGCTGCCCCTGCTCAGTGTCCAGCACACAGAGCTGCCCCTGCTCAGTGTCCAGCACCCAGAGCTGACCCTGCTCAGTGTCCAGCACACCCAGAGCAGCCCTGGTTCGCAGAGGAATCGCTGCGGGTGCCTTTCCTCAGCCTCTCTCTGCGAGCCCAGAGCCGGCAGTGCCAGCAGCAGAGGGTGCTGCTTGCCCGTGCTGCCGGGAGCCTTTCCCAGCCCTGTCCTGCCGGAGGAGCCGTTCCAGGCCCGGACCAGCACGGCTCTGTGCGACACCAGCGCAGGGATGGCAGGAGTGGTCCCTTTCCCAGTCTGCAGGACTCGTGCTGGCCAGTAAACCACTGGGAATTCAGGGCTGCTCCCCTCAGGAGGAGACAGTCACCTGCAGGTACCTCAGGGGTAACTCAGCACTGAGCTGGGGTTGTAAG